AACGTACGAAATATTGGTATTGGTCGGCTTTATGTCGAATCAATTAAATAAAGTAAATAAAGTCTCTGGCAGTCGCATAAACCCCCATATGTGTTAGATTTCATCACTTTCCTCCTGATATTTTTTTTTTTATTGTTTGTCATAATTTTTATTGTTGTTCAACGGTCAAAGGTTGAGTTGCTTACTCGTTTTGCATTTCAAAACTCGATTTTCGCTGGCCCACTGAGAATATTACTTAATCTTTCACGAAGTGTGAATTGAGATCAAAGCTTTTTAAGAATATTTCGTTCAAGGATTTTTGATATTCAAATACTTTGCACAATATAACTTTTAAATATTTTAATTTACAGTTTTATTTAAAGATTTAAAGATATAAAAAAATTGAAAATTATCAATATTTAGCAATGATTTAAAAATTTTCAGTATAATAAATATCTTTTTTCACAGATTATCTTTCTAATTTAAGATTAACTTGAAAATTTCAATCGCTTTGAAGAGATTACTCACAATATAAAATTTTAGTATGTTATTTTTATATTGTATTTTCAATTAACTCAAATTACAAATTCAATAAAAAAACGAGTATTTTCATACATGTAGGAGCTAATATTGTTTTCAAAATCTGTCTTTCGTTGATTGTCATAAAAAGTTTTGATCAACCAGTATGAGTGTACATATTTACATCTTTTTTAATAAATCAGATCTACAAGAAAAGAGAATTAGAAACCTTAAAGAATTTATTATTTAATCTCTAACTAACACTTTATTCGGTTTGGCTTTTGTAAATCATTTATATTTCTTATTATTTAATTTTAGGTAGACGACGAAAAAATATAAATAACGACCCTCTTGCTCCCCAAAATCAAAGATTAAGACCAAGAAAAAAAGGCGAATATAATCATATATTAGAAGGAAATCAACGAAGACGCAAAAATAAGACAAAATCCATGCGGAAGAAAAATTGGCATCAACACGAGGATAATCAGATTTGGGTTCACGGAATCAAACCAGGTTCTCGGCCTCCAAAAGGGTAAGACTGGCCTTAGTCTTTTATAAATCGATTCTTAGAGGTGTAAATTTATTTTAGGGCAGTCACGCATTGTACTCATTACATACATTTTTTCGCGTAGTCATTTGATTTTGGCACAGCTTCTTTGAATTTTAAATTCACCTCGGAATAGCTTATGCTATGAATAGAACGATAATATATTTATCCAATATTCATTTTTTTATCGTTAATGCCTATTATTAGTTTAATAATTTTTTAATTTTATACGGATATAAGATTTTCATCGTATTTATTTTGACACGTTTTATTCTATTCTTTCTTCAGTAATATAGGTAAACGAAAAATAATAAATCATTATAATATTACTTTGCAGAAACTTATAATGTAAGTACTTTTTTTAATAATATCTATTGATAATGTAAGCGTAGTAAAGATTATTAACATAGTGTAATAAAACATAAAATCTATTTTATATTTTAAATTTAATTAATACTTGTGGAACAGTGCAACTTTTGAAGAGTCATGTACCAAAATTGTTTTGGCATAGAGTACTATTATTCCTTGGGCGTATTGACCCCAGGCAAAGTAAAGCTTTATACGTGCCAACAGATACTATCAAATGAGCATAGCATTGTTATGAGAACTTATCACTAGTTAGTCAGTAAAGAAAAACAATCTATGAACAAAACGACAACTTTGATTAAACCCTGATCGATGCTCACCTCCCCCGCCAACCATCATTTATCCGTAGTCAATTCATGGGTTGGCCTCGATGAAAACAGGCCTTCGTAACGAACGCCAATTCACTTGTCATTGCAGCTTGGTGCGAGGATTTTCGAGGCGACAAAAGATCGGCAAAAATAACAAAGGACCGCGCCATGGACGAAAACACACTCTTGGACCAGAACCACGAATCACGCAGATGACACCAAACAGCGAGAAATTGGGTACCTTTCCGGTAATCGGCAGGTCGAAGCCCGAAGAACGACTCCAGAATCTTGCCAATGAAGAAATTGTGTTTCCCCGATTCTTCGGCGTCGGCGGCGACTTTGCCCGCGAAGAAATTCTACTGAAGATTTGAGGAGTACACAAAACTTTATTTTTAAATTTCTTTTCTTTGTTTCGATTTTTTATATATACAATTATTGCAAGAGAAAGTAATAGTCACTTGAAAAAACGACCTTGTTCTTATAATACATCTTTCCTCAATAATATACCCCTTTAAAAGCAGAATGTTAGTTAACATCGAATAGGCAAGAAGAAACGATTTTTTAAAAATGAACTTTTTAATAAAAGAATAGAACAACCAACATTGTAAAAAGTGTATATACTTGTAAAAAGAAAGTATGGGACTGCTTTACTTTTGCTCCAGCGCGATTTTACAATAAGAATATTTTCCTTTATAAGTAAAACTCATTTTGACATCATTTTCTATGCAACATTCCTCTTGCCTTAAAACGATATTATTTGTTATGAGAGGATCGTTTTTAAGTGAATATGTTACTTAGTACGGTGATGTAAATGCAAAAATAAAAGAGATAAAAATGCGGTATCTAATCTGCGCATAGTTTTACACCGGACATGAAACTTCTGAGGTGTTCTTTCAATAGTGTTGCAATGCATTTAATCTCAAATTTCTTATAAGAAATTTTTTTTTTGAATGTACAAGTACTTTTAAAAGAAATAAGACCAAGTATTTTAATTATATATCAGTCTATCTAACTGTTTAAGCTTAGAAAAAGTTCTTTTTGTATAAAACAAATTTATTAGTGATTAGTAAATAATATTTATTTGATAATGTATTTATTAATAGTTGATAAATTTGTTTCATTCAAGACAGGATTTTCAATAAAATATATATTGTCAATTGGATGGAAAGATAAATTTTGTTTGTATTAATTGTACTTTCATATAAAATACATGCTATGTATGGTAATACATGCTAAAATAATACATTTAAATTTAAATAAAAATGCAAGATTTGTTTGTTTTACGTTAGTTGACAGTATAATGTTTTATTAATTTTTTCTTGCTCAAATGAGTTTTTGTCCATAGGATATCTCACACTTGGTCAGATAATAAAAGAAATGGTTTTACTAGTCGATGGATAAAAACTAAGCATTCTATACTAAATGGTTACTTTTTGTTCAATTAAGATACGTTAGAGTAGAGAATACCGTTGAAAATTGTTTAGAATGTATATGTATTTTTATTATATTACGTACTTATTGATGTTACTCTTCAGTATTTTATATTTCCAAGAGGTTATTCAATAATGACAAATATTCCTGATTAGATTTACGTTTATAATGATAATTCATACAAAAATGTTCAATTACAGAACCAAATATCATTTACGAAATTTTAGATTTTAAATTTATTAAAAATTCGAATATTGAAATTATATAAATTAAGTCAGTGCAATTTTAACATGTGTTTAACTTAAACTAAATTTATTATGAAACATTAATTATTTTTTCATACTTTTCGTCGAATTTCACATCATTTCACATAATTGAATTAATTTTCTATTTCATAAATGCAAATGAAACTTTCAATCCATTTTTAGAAATATTTTATAATGCATTTGTAAATGGAATTCAATAAATATAGCTTAATACATTCTTAAATAGATATTTTTAAAAAGTCTTTAATAAATTTAATAAGAATAAATTATATTAGTAATTATGTATAATGTATACTATATGTATATTATGTATAATCATTTTTAAATTGCACCAATTTTTGTCATGATTTGAAATCTAAATTATTTTGAATTACAAATATTCTAAAAATATTTAAAATGATATTCAGTTATATATAAAAAATATTCAACATTCTTAATTTTCTGCAGTTTCTCTACTTGAAATAATATCAATAAGAATCAATAAGAATTATTAAATTTTTAATTATACATATAATTAATATATCTATATTTGTATTTTTATATAATTAACATTAGTATTGCAAAATAAATAACTATCGAATGATATTCTCTTAAAGTAAATAGTTTTATTAGCAAATTGACTTTTTAAATACATATACTATAAAATGAAAAACATTTGGTCCAAAGAAAATTAAGAGTTTGATAAAAATTTATTTGTAACTATATATTTTTCTTATTTTAGTGTTTTTAATGTTAAAAATTTGGTACTAAAGTGTTTAAATATGTACTTATTCTTATAAAATTTTTATATGAAAATTTATTCCCATTTTTATATTATAATTTGAATTTAGGATAGCTCATTTAATTCTTAGCATTACATTTTCTTAATTTGCAAATTGTTATATAATGCTAAAATGATATTCGAACAGTTTCTGCTGAGTTGCTTGTAAATAATCATATGTGTTCATTATTAACACACATTATAACAATAAAGCAAACTAACGACAGATTTATGTAAGTGATAAATTCTTTGTATTATATTTAAAAACAATTATTTCAAATACAATAAACTTTATCTGATATAAATAAAATTATTATAAAATAAATAAAGTTAATAGAATAAATTTGTTAAAAATAATAAATTTTTTATTCTCTAATGTACAAGTATATGTATAAAAAAAGGTAAAATTAAAAATAATTTAATATTTTAAACCATTTATAAACTATAAAAATGTCTATATCTTTAATTTAATGCAGAATATAACTTAATTTATTGTTACTTTTATCTAATAATATCATTTCATGTATTGTACTATTATTAAAATGAATTTTAATTTATTATTGCCAATTTTTTCTGCAAATTTGTTTTCTATTCAAAAAATAATTTAGATATATATACACATGTTTAGTTTTATGTATTTATTGATTATAGGCTTTTATTAAAAAAGAATAATCATTTATAAAAGCTAATTGAAATGAATGTAATATTAACTATGAGATTCTGTTTAATGAATATTTAGATAATAAAGTAAACTGAATATAAAATGTAATTGCATTAATTATACATAATGGTGGAAGTACAAATCAGTAAAGTATAGAACTTACCTTTATATATGTGCAACGTGCATCACCTTTGGTTTCTCCATTTGAATCTGTATACAATTTGAGTTTATCCTTTCCTTTCTCATCACGAGCAAGTAATCCACATTTAGTAACTAATTCTTTAATTTCTTCTACAGTAATATCTAATGGCAAATTGGAAATATAAATTGTTGTATTATGTGCTTCATCAACTTCAAACCAAGTTGGAGGTTCTTGGGTTTTCCTTTTATTTTCTATTTTCTTATCCTCCTTAGTTAATTTAATTGCTTCTATGGATTTGGTTGGATTTTCTGTTTCATTATTTATAATAGCATCACTAGACTCAGAAAACCCATAACTCATTTGATACCTAGCCATAAACTCATCATCAACCTGTAAAATAATTTCAATTAATTTTGTTAGAAAAGTTAAATAAAAAATTGAGAATTATCATATAAAAATAAAATATTAAAATACCTTTGGAAACCAAGCATTTTTATCTTTATCCCAAATATATGATGTGCCATCAGTTGGATCGGTGTATGTATGTGTATCATTTTCAAATCCATAAATAATTTCATTGCTTAATTGTGATGAACTATTAACCTTTATATCATCGTTGTCTTTACCTAATTTTTTATCTTTCATAACCCATTCATTTTTTTCTTGAATAAATTTATAAGTAACATTAGACGTTTTATCAGTATATACATAATGCTCTCCATCAAACTCATAATGTTTCATATTATCAGATGTACCTGGATTGTTATCTAACTGTTCATCAGAATCTAAATAATAATAATGCACAAAATAGATTTTTATATATCTTTATTTATTACAATTATAATATTATATTATTTCATAATATATCTATTAAAATATTTTTTACTTACACCATTTATTTTCCTCACTATTCCAAATTAATTTTCGACCTGTTCCTGGTTCTGTATATATACATTTATTACCTTCATAACTAATATAATCTGAATAATTTTGCACAGTAAAACTTTGTTTTAATTTATTATCATCTTCATCATCAGTATCAAATTCTTCGATATCATCATCTCTTTTACAAATGACTTTTGGTTTTTCTTTAATGAAAATTCTTTTAGTATTAAGTAAAAATGAAGATATTGGGTCTTTTTGTGCATTACATTTATTTAAATCATTATCCTCTGCCACTTCATTATTTGAAATATTTAAATTATTTTCTATTTTGCTGTCATCAACCACATTTGATTGAATATTTTTATGGTCATACAATAAAGCTGAAGTATTTTCAATTTCACTTGTTAGTTTACTTTCTTCTGGTTCATTCATTTTCTGGAAAACTATTTTATAAAAAAAAATTGAAAAATAAGATTAATTATTGTGTATGAAGGTTAAATTCACATCATAGAATCACATTATTGAATACATTACTTACTTTTTTAAATAACTAACTGTATAAATGAAATGAATAAAACATTTTTACAATATTTGACCACTATGAATTGTAATGTTTGTGAATAATCAAGATAATTATAAAATTTGCAATGCATGTAAAAATTTGATATTTGTAAGTAGATAGATCGATAAAGAACATACCTTTCTTATTAACAACTGAGTCTGCAGATATTTTCTATCAGTCATAAAATTTCTGTAATTATGCATTATGCTTGTCCATTGGTTTATATATAAAGTAGAAAGAGTGAGAGAGAAAGAGAGACAGAAAGTGAAGATAGAAGGAGAGCAATTATATTATATAGCAGAAGTATTAAAAAGTACAAACTATTAGACGATTTTATTCATTTTTTACTCATTTTTATTATTTGATATCCATAAATCGCAAAGCATATATTATTTATTAATTAAAATGTATTAACTTTTAAATTACTAATACAAGAATTAATTTATAAAGTTAATGTGTAAATCAAACATTTATATAACAAAACTAAAATTTTTAAAATTTCCGTTAGAATATCAGAATTTTCTTATAACAAATTAAACTATAATGTGGCAACACTGTTTCGACTAAGCAGTGGACCTATTTTCATTTTTCAATTTCCTATGTTTAAGACATTCAAGTTTAGCTTTCTCTAGTTTTAGTTCTACATTGATCATTTCAACCAAGAAAGCGAAGCAGCGTGCATCAATTTTTAAGAACATAACCTTAAAAGATTTATTTAAAAAAGTAAGTGAAATTAAATACTTATTGAATTCCTAATTTCGTTTTGTTTGAATACTGTATTATAAACTTCATCTGTTATTAAATATTAATATTACTTCTACTGTCATAAGTTGTTGAATTTATTATTGGATCGTGACATTATTTTTGGAATAAATTTCTTTCATGTATCATTGATTCTTTATTGTTTGTTAAACAACTGTAAATCTAAACATCCATCTTTGTAAATATAATTATAAATTTTGAGGTTGTCATTTGTAATATTGAATGCCTTTTAATATAATTTGTGTTCAAGTTTGAAGATGCCTCGTAGTGGGGAAAAAGACACTGAGAAAGAAAAAGGTAAAGGTGATCATACTGACACTACAGCCGGCGATTCCAATAGAAATGATGATAAAAAAAAGCCACGAAAATACAACAACCAGTATGGAAATAGAAATCGTAATAATAGATATTACGGAAAAAATCGTAAGTAAATTTATGTTTAATTTATATGTAGTTAATTTAATTGACTGCTTTTATGATATAAAAAATTTATAATTATATTAAATATATTTATAAGTAGATCAAAAAATGGTTTTATTAAAATATATCAAAATAACAAGTATTTATTAAAAATTAGTTGAATCAATTAGAATTTTAATTGCAATTATTAATATAATTTACAATTTATTTTTAGTTTACATACCATATATAATTATATATTATTTCATTGTTAAGGTATTCTTTAATTCAAATAAATGTAAGAAATAGTCAAGAAATATTATTTTGAAAGATGACATTTATTTACTTATAATCAACCTTGATAATATCCAAGTATAAATCTAGAGTTTTGTTTATATTTACATTCTTCGTATACAGCTATATATGTTTTGTTCTCAAGCATGCTGTTCAGTTAATCTTATAGATGAATCTTTAAAATATATACAGTATCAAAAAATATTTTAAAATTAATTTTGTTTTACATTTTTTTACAGGCCAATTTTAGTATATTATTACTTATGAATATAATTCAATATTAATATAATTTTAATTTGAATTAAATTTTGTATAAAATAGTATTTATCACATATTTTTTTATGAACCTAAAATGTTTAAATTGTATGTTATTTTAATTGAAATTATTATTTTTTTGTTTTTTATTTTGTATTAAATAGTACAAGTTAATTATTTGATTTTTATCTTAAGTTTATTAAAGAAATTGAAAATTCCATAATTTTTAATGAATTTATTTTGAATAAATGTAATACAAATAGGTTAATTGAAATTTAATTAGGTTATCATGGTGGTGGAAATGATAGAAAATATTTCAAAAAGGCCAGATTTGATGTCGGAGAAAGACTTAAAGAAGTTGACCTTGGAATCACAGAATATGTTGGAAATACTGAAGGATTTACTGGAACTATAAAGGAGAGATTTACTGATTTTGTGGTTCATGAAATAAGTACCAATGGAGAAATTGCTAAACTAAGTAATCAAGAAATTCCACCAGATCCAGAAGATAATGAGGATATAGAAGATTTAAAAAAAAAAATACCTGAAGATGTTTGGGAAAAACTTCAAACTATTACAGAAGACAATCCTGGTATTGAAATTGATGTTACTGCTATGGATAGGGATCAGCGAAGATATATTCATCAAATTGTAAAAAAATTGACTACAGTAATAAGCGAAACGAAAGAAATTGGCAATAGAAAGATTATTGTATTTTCTAAGGAATACACAAATAAATTTGGTATGAGCTATTCCATATTATTAGTAAAATAAAACAATTACATATAAACATATTAGTAATAAATATATTATAATATTTAATACATTTATTATAGCGATTTACTAAACTTATTATAAATTCAATAAGTAAGCTAGAACATTTTTCTTAAAAAAATAAATATTTGTTTTATTAAGGTACAAGATTTCGAGATAATAGAAAGGATTGGTCAATCAGAGGAGGAGATTATTGTCATTTCATTTTACATAAAGTTAATATTGATACAATGGATGCATTGAATCAAATATCAAGAGTCTTACATCTTAAAGTCAGTATTTTCAACTATGCAGGTACAAAGGATCGTAGAGCAAAAACTACACAATGGATCAGTGTAAAAAAACTTAGTCCAAAAAATATTATGAATGCTGCAAGAGCAGTACGGGGTGCTTTTGTTGGAAATTTCAAATTTGAAAAAGAGCCCTTAAAACTAGGAAAGCTGGATGGTAACAGATTTACCATTGCACTTAGAAATATAAGTGCTCCAAATGAACTTATAAAAAAGGCCATGATTTCACTTTGTGATAATGGATTTATTAATTATTATGGTTTACAAAGATTTGGAACTATAGCTACTATACCTACATATGAAATTGGCTTAGCACTTTTGCAAGGTGATTTTATATATATCGATCATAAATTAATTTGTACATAAATCATTTTGCATAAAATTCATATGTCAAATACATAGTTATTAATTTTTTTATATTTAATAATTCACAACATTTTAAATATTTAAGGAATCAATTATTCTTTAAATTTCTATTGAATATTTTAATAAATGAACTGATAATAAATTAATTTTATATTTATCAAGTCATGAAATAATATATCATGTCAGTTTAGTAAAAATTATTTGTTTACCTAAATGAAATACCTAAATAAGTTTTAAAATATTTAAAAAATACTATTTTTTATAGGTAAGTGGGCTGAAGCTATTGATTTAATATTAAAACCAAGAGAAGGAGAACAAGATACTAATTTAGCAGAAGCAAGAGAAATTTACAGAGATACCAAGGATGCACATCTTGCATATCAAAAGATTGGTCGCAATGACAAAATTGAGGCTAAACTTCTATTTGGAATTAATCTTTGTGGACAACAGAATCTTCAAGGGGCATTAGATATAGTACCAAGGAATACAATGTTAATGTATGTCCACGCATATCAAAGTATTGTATGGAATAAAATAGTTTCTAGACGCATTAAGGAATTTGGACTTAAACCAATTGTTGGAGATATAGTTTACGAAAATCCTGACTTGAAAGATGACATTGAAACAGTAAATGATGATACTCAACATCCAACTGATGAGAATGGAAAGTCTAATAATGATGCCAATAGCAAAAAGCAAAAAGATGAAACTAATTCAAAGAATGAAAATTCTGATAAAGTTAATGATGGAAATCACTATAAAAATATTCAGGAGAAAAAGGAAGACTTGAAAACTGAAGATGATAAAAGTAGCGACAAAGATGACAACGAGCGACAAATACCGAAAGTAAAAATTTTAACAGAAGAAGATTTACCTAACTATACAATGGCCGATGTTGTTATGCCACAACCTGGATGGAAAGTCACTTACCCTCCTTATGCAAAATCTTGGTTTGATGAATATCTTGGAAAAGATGGACTTAACACAGATTTAAAGCAAAAAAACAAGTGATTATGAAAATATTAAAAAATACTTATATTTATATTATTAATGCGTGATCGATATTATATTTTTTCAATTTATTTTTTAAATCAGAAGGTATACACTTGGTGGATCTTATAGAAAAATTCTCCAGATTCCTCAAGATATCAGTTGGAAGATTTTAACTTATGCAAATAAAACCGATGATTTAATTGCTTCTGATGTTGATGAAATGAAAGGTATTGAAGGTCCTAAAGACAATTCAGGTATGTAAAATATTTTTATATTATTTTTTAATTGTAATAGATTTTCTCTTATTAAAATATACTTTTTATATTTTTATGTTACATAGAAGGAACGTTTAAAGCGTTAATTATTCAAATGACATTAAAACCATCATCTTATGCCACGATGGCTTTGCGTGAAGTATTGAAGTGCGATACTTCTTCTCAAACTCATGCCGCACAGACCGCTGCTTTTCATGCTGCGCATGAAAAAAGTGAGGAAACAAAAAAAAAGGAACAAATCAAGAATGCTGAGAGATCTGAAATGGATGATATTCATGTTGAAAATTTGAAACTTAAAGATCATAGTAACGAGGATGCAAGCCACTCAACGGAAGATGAAGCGAATGATAAAAAAACGAATATTTCAACTACGAGTAGTTTATTGGAGGACTCAGTGATGGAAGAGGATATTAAATATTCTTTAAAATCAAGTGGAAAGATCTCTAATAGTATGTTAGAGGATTCTATTCTAGAAGGAAAGACTGAAATAAATGAGAGTAATAAGTCTGTTTCTAAAAAGGATACCCAAAAACACGAGGTCGACGTTATTAATGATTCCGGCATCGAACCTGGTTCTGTGATTAATGCATAATTTCTTTTTTATGTATTACACTCTTCTAGATTTTCTTATTAATTCGATTATATATGAGTCTTAAGTTTATTTCCAATTTTGTTATGTGATTAAAACTGATAGTTTAATAATTATACGAAGTTATGTTTGATATATTTGGTTATAAAAATGATTCTTTTTTTAATACTAAACATAAGAGATACTAGTCGTAAGTGTACGATAAATAAATATGGTTTTTGAATAAATGACTATTTTGATAAAATATGACTTGATTTTATATATTAGTCCACTATTCAAATTTCTAATTTGTAATCAGAAAAAGAGATGAAAACGTTTGATATATATGGTAATATTAAAAATTCTAATTTACTATCAAATAAGGTCGTTTTTGCAACAGCTTCAATATTAAACGTCAGTTGCTTTAAAAATTTAGAATTTTTTTAACAATCGTGAATATATCAATTATTAACCATAACAATTTTTCTTTGTAAAGATAAATGTAAGATATTATATTTAAAATTTAATTCATATTAAATGAATTAGTTATCCATTACTTAAATAATATTTATATTAAATGAGAGAATATGAGTATAATATAGATTTTTAAATATCTTGCTTTATAGTGTGTCATACGATGAGAGTACAAATTTGAAGACGCAGTAAATCGTTTTCCACATATTGGAGATTTATATGGCCTTTCACCTGTCTGAATTCTTACATCAGTATTCAAGGAACTGCTGTTGATAAACAGTTTTCCACAAATGTTGCAACAGTATGGTTTCTCGCTTGTATATATTTTAAAAAAGAAAATTTTATAAGTTTTTCTTACATAATAATTTATTCATTTTGAAATTACTTTATATAACTTAACATGACCTGTATGAGTTCTTAAATATCTTTTTAGCAAGGAAGGTCGATCAAAATTTTTTTCACCATATATTTAGGATGTTTGACATTTTGTAAATTTACATCTTTACCTCTTTTACAACTTCTTGAACTAATTATTTTTTGTAATATATTATTATATAGTATACATTATTATTATATTATTATAAATATTAAATCTACTTTTAAATTAATTTATTGATATATTTTAATTATTTAGTAAATTAATATTTTAACAATTGACTAAAAATAAAATATGCAACTTATTTGATTGTGCTAATCAGACCTAATTTATTTACAATTTAATACAATTTGTTAATTTAAAATTAAAAACAAAAAGAAATTAAAACCAATTTAAATTATTTTAAACAATTTTAATTAAGAAAGATATCCATAGTTTTAGATAAGTCCGCGATCTTTATTTTTATATTGTTTGATTGTTCTTTAAATTATGGTCGGTGGATATTTTAAGATTATTTTTTTTTTCATTACAAAAAATTAAAATAAATTACGTAATAAAAATTATTTTGTATATATGTAAATTTTAAAAAATGAAATGTATGAAAAATAAAAATTTATACCGATTGTATATTCTTAAAATTTAAATTATTTTTATTTGTAATTAAATTAATTAAAATTTGTTGATAAATGCTTTTAAATGAAAACAATAGTAGAAAAAAATAAAATATTCTAATACTTTAGTAGTAAAATAGAATTATTTTCTCATTAAATATGATAATATTGAAGCAAAATGATTGAACTAATTAAAACCATTACTAAAACAACATTTAAATGTAAATTATTAAAAATAAAACGTTAGGATTTTTAATTTGGTCTTTTCAAATTTGACTATACCACAAACATATGATTGCATTACTCACCGGACATTATTGATATGAAATATAAAAAATACAAAGTTAATGATTACAGTCCCTAAAGCTTCTTATCCACTCGAGTATGACGTCCTAAAGAAGGCGAAAAAATTCATATGAGGTAGTTACAGACTTATTTAGTTGTGGAGGTCGAGGGTAGCGTTAGCTTCAGAGGCGAAGTTTTAAGAATCCCAATCGACGAGGCTGTTTAACTTAAGGGATGAGTGTAATACACTATCGAATCAAGGATTTATTCCAGTTGAAATTTCAAAACTATGGTTGTTATATGAAATTTTCAACATTTTTAGCATTTCTCTACGAAAAAATCATTATTTACATTATTAAACATTATTAAGCTGTTTTATAAAACATAAACAAATGATAGTTTTAATACGATTTTAATATAAATTGTTTAAAAAAATAATTTCTAATCATAAATAATTAGAAGATTAACTTTAAATTATTTTACTTTTATATTTTATTCAATAAGAATATATTTTGTAATGATTAATAGTATTAGATTTTGTAATATTTAATTGTATTATTTTTTGTAAGATTTAATAGTATTAGTTTTTTCTTTATTTACACATATTAACGCACCAGTAACTACTTTTTCTTTAATATTTCAATGTAAAACACAAGTCATTCGTACACTTTAAAGAATAAAATAGACGATACGTTATGATAAAATAAACGATGGTTACAGGCTTACGTCGAATCAAAACTCTAATGAATATATTTTGTATAACCATTATGTTTATGTCTTTTATGACTGCGTCATTTGTGAACATTTGAATATATTTTTATATTATATATTTAGAAATACTTTTATATTTTATTGTGAAAGATATAGTTTATACCATACGATACACAATTTAATATAATTTTTAGAATTGTTTGAAAATATCACACGAAAATTCATTTTATTTTCGATTCCTATACAGATTTTAAGTAGAAAAGAAATTAATTTTTTACTTGTATATATTTAAATATATTTTTTATTCTCTTCTTTACCTAATACTGATTAGAAAAAAATTATTTAAATCTGTAGCAATAATTGATATGTATATCAATTTTTAACTTTATAAGAATATTATACAGGTTAAAATATTATTTTTAATACAAAAACATATATAAATTATAGGTTGTGATGAGATAATATATACGCACACAGCCATAAAGAGAAAATAATTCTATATAATAAATATCTTTATAATACGAATAAAATGAATTAATATTACAAAATTTCTTTGTATAATTTTGAAAAATGAAATAAAAACCATTGTACTTTTTATTAAATCTAGTAATATCTGTTTTAAAGTAAAATTTTCTATAAACAGGATTACTTTTATATTTAATTCAAATTAATAATACGCTAATACATTTATAATATTTATAAAAGTATATTAAAAATATAAAAAATAATCGTGATCAATTATAACAACCACTATTATATTATTTTTTAAAAGTTTTTATTAATTGAACGTTTTTGCACATTTATTATAAATTATAATAGATCAATGTTCTCATCATACAGATAATACTAACCTAAAATAGGTTCAACTTGAAATTTTATTGTTCGATTACTAGGAATATATTCAAGTTCTAATAAGATAAGACAATTTTTTCCTTTCTTCAAAAATGGTGCTGGAACATATAAAGTTAATTGTGGCCCAGCTGTAGGCCAATATCTTCCCAGGTTTTGACCATTCATATAAGCAACTCCTTTCCCCCAATTTTCTGTATTCAAAAAAGTATCGTGAGGTTGATCTGTGACTTCAAAATATCCTATAAGAAATTGTGGTCCATCGTATAATAATCCAGTTTGATTATTTGTGTTTCTAGAATTAAATGATTTTTCTACTACAGAAGTTAATTTAAAACCTGTGACTTTCCAAGGACTCAGTTTGATATTATTTAATGACACATTTGAGATTCCCTATAACGTATTGGTTTCAATTAATTTTTCATTTATAATTTGATTCTTGTTGATACGGTGATATAACCGTTATTAGTTCAAATCTTTAAATGAAATTTTATATTACCTTAAAATCTTGAATATAGAATTTTCCAAAATTTATATGACCTTGATTTTCCACGAGAAGTTTCATTGATTTTATTTCATTTTCTGTTACAAGTAAAGTACAATTTTTAAATGATCTACTTAAAAGCCCAGACAGTTTATCATTTATATACACTAAAGCTCTATCGTTAACTGCAGCTGATAAATATGAATTTTTAAAATTTTTAAACGGTATTGAATCAAGCTCATACAAAACTAACCAATGAGGCAGTTGTAGCGATTCAAATGTAGGTGGCTTGTTAAAAGTTCCTTTGAAAATGCCGAAAATTTGTCGACTTTCAGCAGTAAACAGATCGAGCATTGGTATCATGTATACAATTCCATAATTTTTTTTTATTGATGCAGTTGGAATTTCTAAATCCGGTAACTGTTGGTACTGAAAATAAATGTAATATATTTTAATAAAGTAATTTATCTATTCTTAATATACGAAAAAAATATTTAAAAAATAACATAAATATATAGAATAAATAGAAATATGATGTCAGATGATTAATATATTAGCTCTATATTAAGAAATCTAAACACTATTGAAAGGTAAGAAGAATACATCAGAAATTTTATATCATAATTTCCAAAAATAATTAATAGAATCACAAGCGATAGAATTCTTTATATAATAGTAGATAATATTGTTTAAATATATTTAAAAAATTTGTTTTAATCTATACTTTTTTAAATATACTTTAAATATACTAATATAATAATATAGTACTAATATAATATAATATTAATTTTTTTAATATACTTTAAAACTTTTCGATTTGAATGATTTTTTATAAAGTATTTAATAATAAACTGGAAATTAATTGCTTTACTATAATAATGGTAGAATAACTCGATTCTAATAATAATTGTAATGCTGAAATGTTATGATAACGATGAATACATAAATAATATTAAATGATGCTTCATTTGATTCTGTATTACTTGATAATAATGATAATGCTGTAGTGTTTTATAACTTTATAATTTCAAAGTTAGTTAAAAATAGTTTTTTTATTATTAATTTTTTAAATTAGTTAAAAAGAAAATATAAACGACATAAAAGAAATAATATAAAAGATAAAAACTATACATTTAATAAATATTAAAATTTGCAAATGAATAATAATCATTTTATAAAACAATGACATTTAGTATAATAATACCTTTGATATTACATTTCTTATTTTAAAGTATTTCGGAGTTGGATCACCAGCTTCGTTAAGTGGAGCATCATAATCGTATGAAGTTATTTGTGGTAAGAAACCATTGTTGAAATTTGCACCTAAATAGTGTTATTCAAATTATTTTAATAAATAATTAATTATAATGAGTTAAAAATATTAACGCAATATTAACCAGATGTGAAGCCGTAATTTGTTCCTCCGTAAAACATGTATAAATTAAGTGAAGCATTGTATGATAACATTTTCTCAAAATTTCGTAGAATTAAATTAGTACAAATTCTAGGAAAAGATTCATTCCAGTGTGCAAGCCATCCAGTGTAATATTCACCATTCACTAAAGGACCCTATAGATTAGTTTTATATAGATTATTTTTAATATCATGATTTTCATTAAGCATTCAATACTTCTAAGACTTATACCAATTATAAAATATACATTAAAAAAATTATTTCTTTTTTACCAAAACCTTATTTGAAATCTATACCCACATTGCAACTTTTCATTTAATTTAAACAATTGAGTTACTTATGTTATTAAAATATATAATTATTGCGAAAACTTATTCGTACAAAAGGTATTCGTAAGTCACTATAAGAATTTTCACATTGTAAGTCAATGCATTGCATTTGAGAGAAAATTCTTCTTTTACGCTATTTGGAATTGTGCTTTAAAATATTAAGATATTTCTTATTATTAGAATGATCTTCAATTCTATAATCTATTCTATAATCGCAATCTATTATTTTATTTGTATAATTTTTTTATACTTCAGTATCAAAAGTTTTCATATTTTTTATTGAAAAAGGTCACTTGCATTATTATTGAAGGAGTGACATTTCTTGACTAATCTTTATTTTTTCATTATTTGGAATATTATAATAGAAATACCTTTGGACTAAATTCTCTCATCAATTTAAATTGTTGTTCTACATTTTGATTAGCTCCAAAATCAATTATTTGATAAATTCCAGGTATGGCTCCACATTTCAATTTTTCTGCAGTTAGACCATCTACTGTAAATAAAACAATATCTTTTCCAACATGTTGATAAAATATTTCATAAAGTTTTTTCTTGTATTCATTATTGCAAATATCTAAACTTCCATACTCGTTTTCTATCTAAAGTAAATTTTAATGATAGAGTTAAAATATAAATTTTGCAATCAGCATTATCGTTTTTATTTTTATATATTTACTTGTAACATAATTATAGGTCCACCATTTATTATTAAGAGTGGTTTAATTTTATTCAAAATTCTGTTTAAATATCTTTCCGCATGGAAGATAAAACCTTTAAATATATATAGGAGTGTTTAAGTTTGTAAATAAATATTAAAATTTTTTTTATTTATCAAAACATAATTTACGTTCATCATTTGTACGTAATTTGATATCTGGGTTAAGTGATAATAACCAATATGGTAAACCTCCCTATAAATTTTAGAAAAATATAATTTCAAGTTAAAAAAAGCACTAATTAATATTGTAAATTAATTACTATTATTAATAAGATTTAATATTATAGTTTTTTATTGTAAATATTTATTGTATAGATTATATTGATTTAATAACAAAATTGTATTTAATTTTGTTAAATAGCAGATAAAAAATGAATTTTAAGAAAGGATGAAAAATTTTCATAAATAAGTAAACCAATTACTATATAATAAATATTTATATCTTACAAAATCTCTTTCACCGCAAATGTATGGACCAGGTCGCAAAATTACAAATAAATCTTCTTCTTGTGCCATTTTAATAAATTCGACAATATCAGCTTCTCCATCCCATATCCATTTATTAGGCTCAGGTTCGTGTGTACTCCATTCAACATAACTATGAGAAATATTAAATTTATAATAGTCATATAATAATTTGAAATTATTGTTTTAAGTTACTTTCATTTTATAATATTGTATATTTAAAATTTTTTTTGTAATATAATAATTATATTACTTACGTAGTAACAGCATTTAATCCGGCTGCTCTTATTTTTCTAAATATACTCTTCCAATATTGTTTTGGAACCCTAAAATAATGAAAGCTTCCAGCGATATATCGAAAAGGTTTACCATCGAGAAGGAACTGGTCATTTTCATAATCAATTTCAAAACTATAATGGTTAATCTAAAAAATAAAAAAATGAAATCTTTGGTTTAACATACTAATACTTAATATAGTTTTTTACTTTAAATATTATTTTTAAAAATGTTTTTAATTATGCTTGTATAGAATACTATTATATATCTAAATAAACATGCAAATGTTATTACTATAATGTATATTTTTATATTAATTATTAATATTTAAAAATAATTAATTCTGATTACAATGGAAAGTTTTTAAATTAGTTTAATTTTAAATTATGTAGAGTCTTACGTTAGTTTCTAAGGATACTGTAAAGTTACTGATTAGTAGTAAGTTAATAAGATATATAACTGTCAATATTGACATTATATTTATATTATCTATTTAAATTCGTCTTTATTGAAATATTTTGTATTTACTTAGATTTTCAGATGAAATACTATAATTTGTACATTTTCTTCCTTAAGTAGTATTTATTTATATAAGTTGTAGATCTTATTTGGTGTAAATGTTAATAAGCTAAAAAAATTAATTTGTTCATTAATATATGAATTATTCATAAATATATTTGATAATAATTAATATCTTCAGTGAAGTATGCAATATATTATCATTTGATGTATCACGTAATAGTATAATTTTCTTTTACGACTATGAAGCGAGAAGAAGTGAAGGATGCAGGTATGCAGATATTATTAATTTAGTTGGTGCTTAATGGTCGTATCAGCCCCCAGTTTTGGTTTTGGACTGAGCAGAACTTATTTACAGTTGTTTTTCGATTGTTCCACGTTTCTATTTAATACTATTCTTCATAATGTAATATTTGTAAATAAATCTGTTTTCATGAAAAATTTATATAACTTAATTTAAACTATTATAATATAAACTATCATATTTCAAATCATATTTTTTATAAAATTATTCAGAATAAAAGAGTTTTTTACATTTATTATGCATATTTTAATAAGTACATAATTTTATTAAGTTTTACATTAAAAACAGTACATACATATTTTCGGCTACATTATTAAATAATTATTAGGAATTATTAAATTAACTTCGTGAGATACTTCAAATATTAATATAAAAACATTATGCTATTTAATTATTGTATGATATTCTTAATTATTTACATGATTGTTTATAAAATATTTTGGTTTTTTGTGGCACTAATTGTGTATTATTTCTTACTTGTTTTTTTATTTAAAGTTTATTTATTAATAATATTTACTTTCTTATTAATTATTGAGATTATAAACATTATTTAATGCAAAATAATAAAAATGAATGTTTTAATATTCTATATTTGATATAATAATGTAATATTCTTAATATATACTCTTAATATACTTCAATTTTTTCATTATTTCATCTGTCCATTTTTTATTTCGTATTAAAATAAGAATACCAATTATTAATTATCGAATATTGTTAATAGTTCTTCAGCAAAGTGTGTGGCATATAAATAGTTTTTTTTACACTATGTTTGACATCTGCTCAATTGTATTCATAAATTAACTTTTATAAATATATTTATATATATTATAATAATTATTATATAAATATATAAATATAAATATATATTTATAAATACACTTTTAAATTTATTTAGAAATTATTAATATTCCAAATTTATTATATCAATATATATATACATTTTCTTATTTGTAATTATTTTAATAAAATATTTACATTTTCAGCTAATACATATTACTTTGGAATTTAATTTCACGATTCAATTATTCTTATCTAATTTAATATTATTGAATACTATTTAATTTATGTAAATAGTATAAATATGTCGAATATTTATTTAATTTTTAGAATTATAATAGGATTTTTATATTTACTTTAAAAATAGTTTGTAAAATATATTGTTTATATTATGGTTAATATGATTATATTGAATTGTGATGTTATATTCGATATTATAGATATATTATATTATAGATATTAAATATATACCTATATAATATTATATATAATATTGTATATAATTAACTTTGCAGAATATTAATTAATTATTAATAACATCATTAATTATTAATAAAAAATCTTTTATTATAATAATTTATATAAAAATAGTTAACAGTTACTTTTCTACAAATATATGTATTAAAGAATAATTAACTTAATATTACTGAATTGTTGAAAAAATTAGAAGAAATATAAAAAATAATTTATAAGCAACTTACACATCAATGAATAAATAATAACCTTAAAATAAAATTATTTACAGAAGAGCATTTTTTATTATATAACATATTATTCAATACCATTTATGTCGGTAATTTTTTGATAATTTTATGTATATTAACTAAACTGTTTGTGTTTTAAAAATCGTGAGTTTTTTTATTTAATTTATTACTTCATGTTGCTTTTATATCAATACATATAAATAAATGAGATTGTTTTATCTATTTTTGCAATTTTTAATCTTCCTTTTTGTATTAAATTATGATATGCAGAATGGCCTAAAAATAATTTACGTTTTAAATTTTATTCGTTATTTTCATCATTTTATCTTTTGTTTGAGATAAATTAATTTCATATGCTTTCTAAGATTGATATAAATTTGTTACGTAACGATATTATAACATATATTTCTATGCTGATATATTATAACTTAATTGATAATAGGAATTATCTATTTAAAAATTAGATTTTAAATTAATTATATAATTAGTATTAAAATATTAAAATATGATATATTAAATTAGTATTAGAATATGTTTTGTAAAATCAAAATTTCTCAATGAAATTTTATTTGTAGTAATTATTTTTTAATAATGAATGTAAATATGAATTATAAAATAAAATGTTCCCTGGATTGCAATTAAAATTTTGTAAATGCAGTTTATTGTTGATATATCTATGATTTAGCTATTATATCTGAATTTTAGTCCATTTTAAAAAGTCCTTCATATTTTAAAATGACACGTCTTTCAGTTTAGGTCTGGGCTGACAATTTAATTTTTACCTTAACTTAAAATAAATTTAGAAGTTAAATCCTATTTCCTTTAATGTTATTATTACCTTTGTATATTATCTGGAATATAGATGCAGAATGAATTATTCAATATAATTTTAAATGTATCGAAGGAAAACTCACTGGTGTAGATATGCAATTTTCACTTTTTTGAACAATGAATCTATTCGAACTCTTTAGCCCAAAGTCATATAATATATTATTTTATTAGGTTTCAAAGATGTAAAAATATTTGAGTTGTCCACGAAAGTGATACAAACAATGAACTCCAGCATAGGACAAGAAAATATTGTCAATAACGAGCTAGCAATTAAGAAATAAATTATAAGTACTTAAATTTAATTAAGTATTTATCTATATAAATACAACATACAATATTATAATATAATATAATATATACTATGTATAAATATATCATCTCCATATGGCATAGAATATTATAATCAAAAGTTTAAAAAATTTGATATAATTTAGCGTTTTGTATGGTTTTGAGTTAAATATATTTTTCAAATACATTATTAACTTTTATATTTTAATTATTGATTTATGGACATTATTAAAAATAAAATAATGAAAATAGCTTAATTACATTTAAGAATTTACATTAATCTTAATAGTTTTATGTTACTTATTATATACAATTATTGATTATAATTTTTATACTTAAGAAAATTATTAAAATTTAATTTACTTATTAATACTCAACCGTTTGCTAATACTTAAATAAGATATTGAAAATTTATTTTCCATTTTCATAATATTCATCGGTATTCTAAATAAGATTTTATTATAGAATTTTGTTAAATGTTAAACAAATTCATATAGTGTATTAGTAAAATTATATTAAATGAAGATTTAAGTGAATAAGAAAATATGGCTCAATGAAATCCTTATTAAATTCAGAATATCTTAACTTAATTGAGAATTGTTTTATTTAAATTTTAATAAATTTGTTGATAATTATTTAAATGAATTATATCTATTATTTGAATATCATCTTATTATTTTTAATAATTTTTTCTTAAAATATTTTGGTTGCACTAAGAAGTTATAAAATATATGAAGCAATAAATTATTTAAAAGATTTTTAAAATACATTACTATTTATAAAATTATCTAATAAATAAAATTTAATATAATTTTAACATTATGAATATTTCTGTTTATTAAATTATTTAATTTTTAAATATAAATAATTAATTTTTAAATTTCTTAAATTCAATAAATAATTAGCAAAGATATAAGATTCAATTTACAATTATGAAAATTATTTACATTAAATTATAAGTATTCTATGTACAAGTAAAAAACTTTGTAAATTTTTTCCTATATTTTGAACTACAACCTACTTTATTTCTATACGAATACTATTTTATATATCATATTTAACATTATTTTAATTGTATATGTACAGTAATAAATTTATTAATTGTTAAAATTTAATTTTTTCTCTATGCAACAACAGAACGCTGTTATACAATATGAACAATAATTATCATAATTGACCTAACGAATAGAAATATGATGATTAAATATTTTAAAAAATTATTAAGGAAATATTTTTAAAAATTAGTGACGTTGAGTACATAATACGAGGGAATAAATATTACTGATAAAAGTGTAGCTGTATTTTACACGATTATTGAATCGTGCATTACAAATTGCAAGACCGTGCATAGAATATATACTATTGTATGCTTTGCTTATATTTAAATAATAACTGTGTTTATTACAAAAGATATCTCGTTTAGATTAGACAATTAACTGCCTATATTAAGGGAAAAAAGATTAAGAAAATATATTAATATATTATATTTGTTTTGCGTTTATTATACATAAAATTGACAGAATGAACAAAAATACGTGAACAAAGAAACAAAAAATAAATTATTATAAACAAAGTATTCATATCAAAGAATAAAACAAAGTATTCAAATTTAATGATTATTATAATATATATTAAATGCATTGAAATTTGTTACAAATATCCCTTAATTGAATTTCTTTGCTTATGCTTGTATCTGTTTAAACTATATTATTTCATACAGATAACTATATACATATTATATAATGAATTATTATTATTGATGCTACGTTGAAATATAAGATTTTAATCTATGAACTTTAGGAATTTTATTTTATTGCTACCAAATTTCGATTATATTGTAAGAAGAATGATTACGTGTCACGTATATTGAATAGCCAAGTTTAATTTTAATTGTGAAAAGTATTTTCCTAATACATTCTGTTTCCTGATTCTCTACTACGTTGAATGAACAAAAACGTAGTTCAAAAATTATAGCTAATCTCTGCAATGTTAACACGAAAGCTGATACAGAGCGAAGGAAGCTGATAAACAATACTATTTCAAATTAATTAAACACCAATATTTAGTTATGTCGATATTCCAAATGACAATATGGTTACGGATTTTTATTGACAATGAGATTACGCAATGAGTATGGCAAGGAATTAAAAATGTAACATCTTTAAATATTGAAAAACAATAATATTGAAGATCAACTATTTTAATTATTGTAACTTAATTTGTTTTTGAGATAATATATATTGAGAAAAAAAAACAAAAAAGAGAGTTCGAATGCAACCAGTTAATATAATTGAATTTAATATACACGGCAAGAAAATCTACTTTTATGAAATACATCTTTTATCCTGTGACAAACCTTTAAATTGAATTTAAATATAAATAATATATTGATTATAACATTTATTATTGTAAAAAAATATAGTAAAAAATTATAATAATATATTTCTTAATGATATAAGATATAATATTCTTAATATATATATTATATTCATGTATATTAAGTTATATGCAGATCATGTTTAATTTCCTTTCTCAGAGTTTCCTCAAAATTTAAATGAGATGTGATAAATCCAGGCGAAAAAATTGAATGATTAACTAGTAATTATAATAAAAACAAAGATCTTATAAAGTTAATATATTTTCAAAATCAAATTGAATACTGTAATTTTAAAATAGTAATTTATTTAATAAAATTATTATTTAATTATATTATAATAAATATTAAGAAAATAACTTATAGAAACTTTTTGAAATTTATTGAAAAAATTCCATTAATTAACAATATCCAATTGTTCTTTAAATTTCACTACTAATGATGAGTCAAATAGAATTTATATATTTTTTTATGTGTCAAATTAAAGTTATATATTAGCTTAAGTAGTTTTATTTTTCCTTCGTTAGTATATTTAAATACATTTTTTATTTAATCTATAGTAAATTGAGCGTCAGATTTGTATATGAATAAATAATTGATCATTTCCATTCACAATTTTCATGAATTGTTCCACGATTTATCTCAACAATTTTATCGTTAATGTACTTTTCCAGTTTAATATAAAATAAGAGTACAGTAGGTATGATAATTCATTCTGATATGTATATATGAAGCCAAAACTATAATAAAATTTAACAATTAAAATTTACTAATTTATTACCTTTCAGCAATATGATCTTGAAAGCAATGATCTTTAATGTATATATATATATATATTACACTTTCTTGATTAACACAAATTGAAAAATAAAAGGGTAAATAAGTTGACATATATTTTAATGAAATAATAGCTTGAAATAAATTTTATTTAGGTTCATAACTACATTCGAAATATAACTGTTAATCGGTTATAAACACATTGATATGTCACGATTTCAGAAATCTAATCGTCGAAGTAACGCTGAATTGTTTATTCTAAGTATGAGTTACATTAATATCAAAGTAATATAGAATCTTAAATACAAATATATTTTATAGAAATATAAGTTTCTAAAGCTGAATTTTTTAAAATGTTGCAATTATAAGATATTAATGATTGTTAAAAATAATAATAATAAATCATAATTTATTCATGATTGCTACTACATTGATTGATAATTTATCTATTACAAAAAATTCTTAATGAAATATAAGGAGAAATTCTCGTCTTCAATAGAGATATATCGATTTATCCGGCAGGATTGATTAAATAAGATGATAAGAAAGACATGTAAAAACTTAAAATTTTATATATGCTTATAAAATATGCTTCTATAAATCTTATATCTAAATCATAAATTTATTGTTAAATATTAGAATGAAAGTAATGAAATTACTTATAATGATCAATGATATGTAATCGAAAAATTACAAAAATTGGAACAAAAAATTTAATATAACATAAAATAAATATTAACTTTATTCAATCGTAAAAATTATTAAAATTACAAATACTAACATAATGCACTATCCAAAAATGCTAACTCCACTTAAGCTAATAATATATACTTGCTGTAGCATTCGAAATAAAATATATACAATCAAATTTATTTTAAGAAATTATTTTCTAAAATAATATATATATCTAAAACAGATTGTATATTGTAACTAAGAGAACAAAAAATAAAATCAATAAACTGAAAAAGAATATAAAAATTTTGAAAATAGTTAAAAATAAAATTTATTAAAATTTTATGCAATCAATAAATAATTCATAATATATACTTGAACAAGACAACTGACAGCGAAATGAATAATAATTGGTAAATTAACAAGTTAATTACTCCTCCTTCTTTCTCCGTCGCCCTCTCTCTCTCACTCTCTGTCTCTCTCCCTCTTTATCCCACCTCTCATTCTATCTCTCTCGATATATCTATCCATCTCTCTTTTTCTACTTAGAAATTTACTCCGATTTCTTCTATATTTATTTAGAATTCATTTTCTTATCAAATTTTTTCATTACCATAATTCAATATATTTTTAATATTAAAAAAATAGTTTTAAATGTTATCAATTTAAATATTTATTAAAAACGATTTTATAATGAAATTTTAGATTTCAGTAATAATTAATATATTGTTTGAAAATCTACGTATTCGAAACGATTCTTTTATTTTCATATAATTTAAAAAAATATATTATTAAAAATAAAAACATACTCTTAACAATATAGAATGATATTACTAACAATATACATAATTATTTATAAAAAAATACTGTTGATTTAAGATGGTTTTGTTGACTTTGTTATCAGCAATTAATCTTCAATTTTCTTATGATAATTGTTAATACGTTAGACTTGAAAATATACTGTAGTTCAATAATGAAATAAAAGCTTATTTTGTTTTAATTTTCTTAATCGTATAAATGTTTTTTAAAATATGTAACTTTTAAATCAATACGAATTTAATAAATTTCTTTAAAATTAAGAATATTTAATTAAAATTATTTAAATATAATTCTAGAAAAATAGTTTCATTTTGACCATAAGAATAGTGTGATATTGATTTTATAACTATTTTTTAAAAGTATATTATATTTCATATATAATTTGTATATACACTAAATATAATTATTTAAGTTAAAGATAGACACAAAATAAATATGTAACTGTCAATTATCTCCAGTTTATTCATTTTTATACAAACTATTTCCAGAAACTATTTTTTTAAATTTGAATTTTGGAAATATAAAAGCATATATATATATATATATATATATATATTCTTTATGAAGTTAGATTTTTATTAAATTTAATAATTATGGATAATCTAATACTGGATTGGTTTGAAAATGAATTTTATGATTTTTAGGAACATATTCCAACTCTACCAAAATCAAACAGTTTTGTCCAATTATCAAATAAGGAGCTGGAACATATAGAGTCAACTGAGGGCCTATCAAAGACCAATATCTACCAAGGTTGTGTCCGTTAATGAAAGCAATTCCTTTTCCCCAACTGGCTGTATTTAGGAAAGTATCGCTCACCTCTCCCGTGACATTGAAATGCCCAATGAGAATTTGTGGCCCAGTATACAATGTTTCTGTTTCAGTAATACATGATTTAATGGATCCTAAAGCAAATTCTGAAATGCTATCAAATCTAAAACCTGTGACATTCCACGGTGAAATATCTATATTATTTAATGTTACATTAAATATTCCCTGGAAATAAAAATTCTTAATTAAAAATAAGGATTATTCATTTAAATGTACATTTAAAATGTAACTACAAGATTTTGTTCATATAACATTTCGGTAAATAAATATCAAAAAATAATTTAGAATACAATAAAGAAATTTTATCGTATTTATATATATTTATTATACAAATGTACCTTAAAATCCTCAACATCGACATTTCCAAAATTAACTCGACCTTGAGTTTCCACAAGTAACTTAATTTCTTTTGTACTCTTTGATTTTAAATATATACTTCTTGTGCCATTCGACCTACTTAAAGTTGTAGAGAATTTTCCATCAAAATATATTAATGCTCTGTCTTTTGGTGTTGCTTTAAGTTCTTGATTATTGTTCGAATTGTTCATTAGTGGTAAATTAGCTTCATATAAAACTAGCCAATTTGATAAACCCAGAGCTTCAAACGTTGGAGGAACGTTTGCTTGTATTTTCACTGATCCAAATAAATATCGAGCTTCTGGGTCAAATAGCTGAATAACTGGTCTCATTGATACAATACCATACTTACCTTTAGAAGATATAACTGGTGTTGGCATATCTGGTAATGATAAATACTAAAATATATACAAAGTAAATTAGTTATTTAATAAATTATTGCATTAACAATTGTAAAAATTACATGTACTATAAATATACTTTTATAGTTATTTGTAGATACTGTATGATTGTTATTCAAAAATACCTTGGAAATAGTTTTTCTTATTTCAAAATATTTTGGAGTTGGATCACCGGCTTCAGTCAATGGTGCATCGTAATCGTAAGAAGTCAAATCTGGAGTGTAGTTGCCAAATATGTTAGCGCCTATGAATTACATCCATTTATTGCAGAAATGTCTAACAATTTGTAATCTAATCTTTATGTACGTTTATATCATTTTTATAATATTGGATTTTAATTAAATAATTCATTGTATTAATTTTATTTTCCTAAAGAGATCTATTTTGAACATTTCTTTTGACTCGATGATTGTTAACTTAAACGTTTTATACAAATAATAATGGATCTATATTATAGATCTATATAATAAATGACTGTGACTAGAAATTTATTAATATTTTATAACTATTTATTTTGATTAAATATTATTTTGTATAAACTCAATTTTTGTATATATTTATTAAATTATTTTATTTTAGATTTTTCCATTTTTTTTTTTGATTTAATAAATTTGTGGCTTAGTGTATAAACAGTTTTTAAATAAAACTTAACTATAATTATTGTATTAATATTATTATTAATTAATAATAAACAGTGAAAATAAAAATGCTATCTTATATAAAATAAATAAATGTAATTTTTATTCACTGAAATATTTGGCAACCACGTACAAAATTATCTAACAGCTTTAATAGCTATTAATTGTTAATGAATTTGTTAATTACATAGTACTTACTAATATTATCTATGTCTTGAATCATGTATCTCAAAATTTTTTATTATTTCCCCGTATAATATTTATATTAACTATATAATGTATAAAAGCTTCAAGATAATTCAATAAATTTTATATTTTTTACCTGACGTGTAGGCGAAGTTGGTACCACCATAGAACATATATATATTAACAGATGCGCCAACGGATAGCATTTCATCGAGTACATTAATTACCATTTTTGTCTCAACCCTTTGAAAAGATTCACCCCAATGACTTAACCATCCAGAGTAGAATTCCGAATTTACTAGTGGTCCCTTAAATATTTTTTATCAAATTATATATCAAAATATAAAAAATTATATATCAAAAAAATTAAACTAATTTCATATTATTAATATATTTTTAATATATGTTAATCTATTAAATATATTTTCAGTTATGTGTTTACTTTCGGCTCAAATTCACGCATAATTTTGAAGTTTTCTCTGACATTGCTAGATGTACCAAAGTCAATTGTTGCATAAACATCTGAGACATGGCCACATCGTAATGCTTGTCTGTTTGAGCCATCAGTTGTATATAAAACAGCATGATTTTTAACATAACTTTTTATTATTTCTTTTAATTTGCTCATATAAACACTATCACAGGCATAAAAACTGCCATATTCATTTTCCACCTAAATATTATAAATCACTAATAAATAAAGATATTTTCGAACGACGTATTTATTATTCGTGTTTTATATTAAACTTAGTTTGTATAATCACCTGAACCATAATAATTGGTCCACCTTTACCTCTCAATAGTGGTTCAACTCTTGTCAAAAGTTGTCGGAGATACTCTTCCGTATATTTTAAATATCCTATTATAATAATATTATTATTTATTCCAATATTTATTAATTTGTTAACATCATTTTTACAACTATAGCTTACGTACGTGCATCGCTAGTTCGTAATTTAATATCAGGAACTTCTTTTAAAAGCCAATATGGAAATCCTCCCTTTAATATTGAATACAATCATATATTAGTTTATAATTAATTATTAATCAAAGAATATAACAATTTATAACTTTTCAAAATTAATTAAATCTAATTATTTTTTTAGTTAAAAAACATACAAAATCCCTTTCAGCACAAATATATGGACCTGGTCGTAACAAAACTAATAAATTTTCTTCTTGCGCTAGCTTAATGAATTCAACGATATCAGCATCACCATCCCAGACCCATTTATTGACTTCGGGTTGATGTAAACTCCATTCTACGTATCTATTAATTTTTCATTATTTAAGAGAAGTCGAATAAGTTTTTGATAATGAGTTGTCATTTTGAGATAATTTCACGGTGTTAATTTAAATTTCATTAAATATAAATTTGTAAACTTACGTTGAAACTGCATTCAATCCAGCAGTCCTCATTTTTCGTAATCTATCTTTCCAGTATTCTCTAGGTGTACGAAAGTAGTGAAAGCTACCACTGATATATCTAAATGGCTTTCCATCAAGTAAAAATTTATTATTTTCATAATCGATTGCAAAGCTTTTATGATTTACAACCTATAAAAGTAGTAGAAATGTAGATATTTTTTATTTCGTTGTATATAAATTAAATTTTTGTAAAGTGTTTTTTTCAATTTAGAAGTATTTTAAAATTATATTTTTAATTATTTATCATCAATAAACTAACATTTTGTTTACTTATGTCATTGTTTAACAAATCATCTATCTCGAATAATATACTAGTACAATATAATATTAAAAATTATTATTGATCATATCAAATTATTATTTGTTCTCAAAATTATCAGAATATTTTTATAAAACATTAATGCTATGCATAAAATATATTAAGATTAAAGTTTCAAAAATATAGGTTAGAAATCTATAAAAGTGTAAGTAATGATATCGATATAAATGGTTAAATTTATGAGAAATATTAATATTAATATTTAAAAATATATTTATTAAAACCAATTAATATTATATTGAAAACTTCATGTTTGCATAGTATACAAAACTAATTTTAATCTAAATTATAATTTAAATAATTTAATAATAATCAATTAAATTCATCGATTCAATATAATAAATATATGCTTTACGAATATCAAAGAATAATAAGTTTATATAGTGTTTAGGATTTTTTATATTTTAAATGTATATTTTTGTATTATTTTTTATTCATATTAATATATAATCTCTAATTGACTGTTATGTGTGGGTATGAATGGGCGTTTGTGTGAAATAAATCTTACATTAGTTTCTTTGGTATTTGTCTGATCCACAATCGATGATACACTTAAAACTAAAATAAAAGTCTTTAACATTTTAATATGTTTTAATTTCCCCTTACTCGTGCAATGAAATATTAGCAACTGTGGAAGAAGCCTTGAATTGAAACACTCAGCTCAAAGTGGAATTTCACTTTATATATAACTTAAGCAATGTGATAATACTTATCTTAAAATGTACTGGTTCTTTATATTTGCAACTGATATCACATTTTATACACCACAGAATAGTAGTTGACATTAAATGTTAAAAGTACAAAAGTCCGAAATAAAGGTTATAAAGAAAGAAACTGATTGTACTTATTTTCTTTATTTTTTAAAAATTGCACTTAATTTACATAATAGTTATTTATTTTTCATAAATATTTTTTACTTAATTTTATCAAAAAAACAAGTTTTCAATAACATTCTTATTTGTTTAATACAATGAAATGCGGAAACTTATGTTGTTTAACAAGAAAAATTTAAAAGATATTTACAAAAAGATGCCTACAAGTAGGTTTGTGAATATAATGCAGTTTTTATTAATAAATTATTTGCAAGACAAATGACCTTAAAATTCTGTAATAAAAATTGTAGGCTTGAAAAATTAAAATAAACTTAAAATATTTGATTATTTTTATTGACTTATTACCTTTCTTGTTGACCTTTCTTATTGACCTTTTTATTCACTTATTATTTCTGAATTATTACCACGTCTTATTTTGGATAACAATAATAGCTTGATCAAACTTATCTAAATAAATTTTTTTCAATTATTTATTTTTCAAACTTAAATATAATTTTTGTTATAAACATCTTTATTATAAATTATTATATTAAAAATTAATTTAAAACATATGAATAAAATTTTAATTAAGTTTAAAAAGAAAATTTAATTTTTCATGTATTTATAAAATAAATTTCATGTATCTGTAACATAAAAATATATGTAAATATGAAATGGAAAATAGCACAAACAGTATATTATGTTATTATATATATATATAATTTTTTTGTAGTATTACTTTCTGCTAAAAATTTCTTATTCGTAGCTGTAATTTTATAAATAGAAGAATTAATATTTCACTAAGATAAACTATATTATTTGGTACATATAAAAAATTTTTAAATATAAATGATAAAATATATACACAAAAGTCGTATTATTAAAAACACAAAGATAATAAATAAAATAAATTAACTTATACAAATTTATTTTTCACAATAAATACATATTCGTTTTATTTTTAATTATGGAATCAAATTTTTTTATTTATTTCATTTATTATCTAAGAAATGTATATGGTTGATACTATTGATCAATAATTTTAATTAATGTGGGAAAGCAATATATAATGCATTAAATTAAATCATTTGGTTAATACATGAGTATTCTATTTGATTCTGAAAAATTATATATAAGTATATCTAAATATTTTAGTATTTCGAATTTTTATAAATAGCTTTTAGCAAAATTCAAAGAAAAATGATCAATAATACAATACATAATAAATTATCCATATATTAATTATAATTTAAACCTAATATTTATTCAAATTATGTAAATTAATGATAACATACATTCTAATTATGGAGATTGGTGATTACATTTTTCTTATTCGAAATGAATATTATTTTAGTTCCGTTTAGTGCAAGGAACAGAGGCAGAGGACATCTTGCATTTCTATCTATAAGTTTCTAGTTTCTTTGCTACGACTCAATACTTGGGATTTAATACGAAATGTATATAATAAAGTATTATTTTACTCTGCATTAATGTAATTTTCTTCCTGATTATATAAGAGATTCCCATTATTAATATTATTAAGTAAAGAATTATTAACATTTCTTGTATTTTTCTTAATCCGATTTAAATTTGTAAAATAGTCTGCAGAATTGTCAGTAACTCCTTTGACTTCATCAATTGATTCACCATTTCTTTTTGACAGTTTTGTCTCAGTAACTATTTCTGAATCATAATTATCAACTGTATTAGCAGAAAAGATGTCTTTTGTTTTATATTGAACTGTTGATTTATTCTTATTGTTATCCACAGTAAATCTATTAGGGGCATTTGTAGCTTCAGCAGTAGTAAATTTCGATGGTGCAGCGTCATAGTTAGTTATTGACGGTTCTGTAACAGTGTCTGTTCCTTCTTCATAATCTTGAAATTATATCAGAAGAAATACGTGTTATTTTAGATGGTAAAGTTGACCCCATATTTTATAAAATTACTTCAAAATCATAAACATATATATAAAATCATATATATATTTATGGTTTTAAAGTAAGGTTGAATATTAATTTAAATTATTATATTTATATGTATTTAATATATAATATTATATTTTCATGAAGTAAATTCATTGCATTATAGATATATATATAGAACATATATAAATTTATGTTTAACTTTCAAAATGGCTACAATAATTGATTAATCTTGTATTCAACTTAAATCACATTTATTATATATTATTTAAAATTAAATATAATTAAATAAACTTTTCAAACTATGAAACATAATCAAAAATATCTAATATTTATTTTTAACTACAGTTTATTATAAAATTGTTTACATTCAAAATTTGTTTTGCATGCTAATAGGCTTTCTAATATTTTATTATTAATTTTAAGCATATAATTTTAAGCATATAAGAATGTACATAAATTATATAAACATGTATTAAATGTTCATAGTAATAAGTAATAATGATTATTTTTAATTTTACATTTTTAATATTGTCAGGAATATTTTTAATATGATTATGCAATCCTGATATCATTAAATTTCATATTATTCTAAATATATATCAATTTACAAAAAATATCGTACCTGTAGTTATAATTGTTGAAAATTCCGGCATGAAAGTAACAGACTCAGTGAACTCTTGATCAGACAGTCCTGCATTGGTAGTTGGATGTTTAAAAATAATATGATCTGTTGAATTTTTATGAACTGGATCTAATGGAATTTCAGTTGTTGAAGACTGTACAATACCTTTAAATTGTTTGATTTTTTTAATTACTTCATTTTTAAATTTAACAATATGTAGTATTAGAGTTTCATAAACTTTTTGCTTATCTGGTATAAATTATTTAATTTTTGATGCACATTTCTTTTGTATTGATTTTATTATTTGAGTAATATTTATTTTCAGATTCCTATATAATTTAGATAATTGTTTGTCTAATTTAGAAAGAACATGGTATTTCATATTTTTGTTATAAATGGTTTCTCCAAGAATTTTTTCTTGATTATAACTATAGTTACCAATCAAAAACAATTTAACAACAATACTTATTTCTTTACATTGTCGATAAATGGCTGTATTTAATAAATAATCTAGTTTTAAATTTTCTTTTTTTGGTTGATTATATTTAAAATTTTCAGTATTTTCTATTGTTTATATTTATTTCGGATTTAAAAATAAAATTTAATTTATGATCTTCTCCGCTTAAATTAGTACATAAATCTTTAAAATTATTAAAATCCGAAGATACGAGATTATCTTTAATGTTATCATTTATATTATTTTCAATTGATTGCAATTTTTGTTGTCTTTGCTCATAAAAGACATCACTGAAATTGTCTTTAGGCTCGTAGTTAGAGTCATTACTATCGCTGCTATCTGGTGAAGAATTATTATTTTCATAAGAATATGTATTATTATCATTATTGTTTAAATTTTCATATACGAAGTGAAACTTTTTTCCTGATGAAAATTTGTTATCAAATTGTCGTAATATATCTTTATGAATCAAATGTGAATAGAATTTCTTAAAATTTTCTGATGATGTTAAAGATGGTGTGTCTTCTTTCTTTTTAAGTATCTGTGATTCGTAATCCAAAAAATCATTGTAATTATGAGAATACAAAGAAAATCCAAAAGTAACATAAATAAATGACGAAAAAAATAAAATTTTGATTTCTGAAAAATATAATTTCTATTATCAAAAATATGTACGACATTCGTTACTTTTTATAAAATTACAAATGAATAAAAATTCTTTAATTAGTTTTATTAGATATATTTACTTAAATGATATTTATATATTTATATAAATAATTACTATGTATTTCCCTATCTTGGAATTAAGAAGCAATGAAAATAATTACATAGTACCTCTGTTATGGCTTTAATATGTAAACTAATAATACCTAATATATAATAACTTAATATTAGGATAATACGTTTACTATATCTCCAGTTAGCATATACATTCAGTTATAATATACCTTTATTAAAATTCTATAACGCTAAAAATATCTCTTGTGTAATATTATTAAAGTTGGAAAAAATTTTTAAATAATGATATATAATTCCTTAATCAGAATAATGAGATAAAATAAAATATAAGTAAATAAAATAAAAAATGTATTCTGTTTGTAGGAAAATAATACATTCTAATGCAGGAATCATTAGGAAGAAAGAATTAGATGAAAATTTACCTACAATTAAAAGTAAATAACTTATTTTAATGTTAACTAAAATAAAATTCGTTGTATCTATAGTTCCGATACATTTTTCGTAAAATTATAAATTTCAGATTTAATTGAATAGAAAATAATTTCTTTTAATATTTATCTTATGCTTATGTTTCATTATTATATGCACAGATAAAGAGCTAAAAAAGATATATATAAATTTTTCCAAGCATAAATTTTTCCAATGTATTTTAATGACTCTATGTAGATCAATCATAAAATAATTTAAATACGACTTCATACATTATTAAAATAATTAAATTTGTTTTCAAATTGCATTTTTCCGATTGATCGTAAACACTAAAATCTATCGATTATAAATATACAATTAATTTTGTTATTGCTTTACCTTTTTATTATTTATTTAATGTTGGAACAAATTTTTTATGTTATCGGTTAAATAGTTATTACTTGATAAATAATATTAATTTTTTATTTTTTATAAATAGATATACAAATGTTGTCAAATTTGGATAATTAATTTATAATAATATATATTCATTTTTCATTAAACTATTCGTCTAATTACTAGAAAGTTTATTGAAATATTTGTTATTTTACTCATGTTTATCATAAACTATAACTGACATTAATTAAATTATTTATTTAAAATATACAGTT